TACCATTACATAGATGTGAGGCCTGTCTTGTGTTGAATGTGCCTTCATCAAATACGTGTTCCTTGGTACTTCTTCCACGGTTTCCCCTTTGGGGAGAGAGAGAAATACTACGTGAGTGTGTGGGAAGGAGATAACATGTGCGTGCTCTCCCCCTCCCCCCCCCCAACTAATTATCAGGCAGTATCGCATGTGAATATTTAGCATTTGTATGAGGATGTTTCGTGGGTCCACCTCGACCCCTAACAACTTGCTATTAAAAGCAGGTTTATTAGCTACTAACTACCTGATTGCCTCTGTATATCCACGGCAGCCTCTCCTACCACGCTTAAACTTCCCTAATTCTTTGAACCCATCTATGCCCAGGTTTCTCCCTCTATTGGAGGCCGCGGATCGCTACTGCGTCACTAGATTTTAGTTTCCTATTGTGCTAGCGCCCACAGCTCCCCAAGAAATTATCCATTATGAGATATTTCAAAGAGAGCATGTACAATAGTCATGTTTACTTTTTTTTTATTGAAACTTTCGCAACTCTTCCTTAAATTCACCCCTACTGCCTTTAACAAATGTCTATACACAAAAGTTACCCCGGTATACTTTTTAAAATCATATTTTCCTGAATTACACCCCATCATCCTTCATGTCTAGGCAAACTTCCGTGAGTGTGAAACTCACACTTCGGGAAAGTGAGGTCGTCACTCGCCAACACCTTGTCGATAGCGCTCCAACCCTGTCGATAATCCGTCATCACCTATCACCAGCCCACGTAGATAACAAAACCAGTGTGGCGTTATTTTATTTATAACTAAGTCTGCCAGTACCCCTCCTCACCCTCTACTCTCTCAGAAGAGTAATCTGGTGCGCCAACCCTCCTCAGCACAACCAGATGGTGGCCGTTATCAAGTTGTACACTAAACACCGACTTCTCTTCTGCTTGGCCTTTTTACTGCTATACCTGGTGCCCCCCATCCCCACCCAAGATACGAGGCGGTCTTCAGCAGCTGGGCGAGCTGACACGACGCGAGAATTATCATGGATTGCTTCCAAAATCAATAACGGTATTGATCCCTTCAGCAGAATGGAACGCCACCGTCGGCTCAGCCACATTTGTTGGGGTAGTGAGACAAGATTCCGCCGCCACCCGAGTACTCAAATGCCTCCAGCTCCACGTGCTCAGGGTCCGGAGTAACAATGGTTCACACATTGAACATTCCTAGTGCCGGAAGATATAAGAATGCTCTGACATGTTAACTAAACTAACACAAAATATGCTATGAGTAACAAATAAATTCATGAAATTACTTTAAATATAATGCAGTATGTACACTCGCCAACATAAATCTTGTCTCGCATGTCTCTTCATGAACCCTGAGATTCAGAGACCTGTTTCAAGGTTCACAGTTCTCCGAATCTCAAGAGTCATGAAGAGGCAGGTAAGGCGACAGGACTTTTGTTAGTGAGTGTACATTCTTCAAAAGATTCTTGATTTAATTGTCCCAACTAGTGAAAAGTAACCGTATCTAGTTATGGTAGCATTCAAGTAATGTTAGACGAAAATTTTCTGAAGTTTTAAGTTATTATGGCGCTTTATCTAAAGTCAAGCAGCTGGGAGCATTCTTTCATCTTCGGTTGGAGGAATATTGTTCGAGTGACCTTTGAAAATCCTGACCAAGAACACACTGGTGCCTACACATGTAACTGGCCTCATTGAACTTCCGCTAACACCCAATAGCTACGACATTCTGGTCGGTGCCGCAACTCTACCTCCAACACAGTTTGTCTCGACAACATCTAACCATCAAGCCAAGACTAGCTGATTGTGTAACGGGTAAACGCCGGCGAGTCATTGACCTGCAGACGTCCTCTCCTCAAAACAACTAAAACTTCTTTAATGCTGGAGGAAAGGCCCACCAAATTACCATGAGTCCACATGACACAAACCTGTTGCTACCATCAACAGGACTGCATCATGTTTCTAAGAGAGGTGTGAACAAATCTCAGGCTTAATTAAGGTGTAATACGTGGTGACGTAGACTATAGAGGGACGTCACCACCACAAAGGTAGCTTCTCGTACATTATCCTCGTCCCCCTTCCCCAGTGTTATCAAAGCAATATGCCATTTGTTTTTTAGAGAATGACTGGCTTATCAAATCCAGTGTGTGCATGGGTGAGTCACCGTCACGCTGGCCGCTCCAACATTACTAGTGTCTTCCACCCGTGCCTCAACTACTGCTGCTACCGTCCACTTCTGCTGCTGACCGCACATTCCTTCTCGACACTGTCAAAAACCCAGCCGTGGGCCACGACCTGGCATACGCTCATATGACGTGAAACACGTCAAGCTACACCACACAGGAGGTGACAAATGTGCCAACAACCGACCACATTTCCCATTAAAATTAGAGAAACAATAACTGATAAACAGGACTTCACGAAGTCTGGGGTTCAAACTTGAATTGTGAAATATTGGTTGTACTGACGTATACGAAGGATGGATACTTATTCTTTTATTACTAACTACTGTTCAAGCTAAAGCCCTGGTCACCTGAACTTGGACCCTCGGGCTTCATGACAACTTGTCATTCCTCCTGCCCACATCATGTAAGAGGAGCTCCAAGATTGTGTTTACCGGCTATATTACTGAATACAAAAAAAGAAGCAACTTCAACTGTGTAGGTGTTTGTGTTCAATACTGTCTGAACTTATTACCCTTGAGGTCTCTTCGGTGTTTTCTCCACCTCTCCTCTTATCCATGTACAGTATAGCACTAACTAACGGTACCCCCTTGTTTTATCACACCCATCCTCCCCGCCTGCACCTCTAGACAATCTCAACCCGAAATCAGAATATTTGATCTTAATTTGGCTCCGTACCATAAGGTTATCTGTATTCAACTTCACTGATAAGATAAGGCATAGTAATACGAGTTAAAATACAAATTCACTACTATATTTGTGGACTAACTTGCCTACTTGGAATTTTCGTAATTTTCACCACAAACAGGAGACATAATCCATACAAGCCTTTGAATTAGCCCCCCAGGAAGTTTTAGTGAACAAGAGTCTTGAGTTACTACCAAGCCAATATGTTTACCAATTTTGTTCCCTCTAAACGGGGGCGAGGTAAACTATATACTGTATATCGTCGTTTACATTTTACCATGTAGATTATCTCTCTACATTATAATTTCATGAACTCTCTCGTATAAAACACTCCTGCTCTCTATTTATTTTTACTACTAACCTTTTCATTATTACAACACAAGCACTCCTCGCCCAACACCTTCAGATAGGAGTCGATACTGGCAAGCCAACTCCCCTCCGTTTTACACCAGCTTCCTTTACATTTCTCTCTTGCCCAAGTCTTCCCCTGCGGCACCCCTCTCTCTCACAGGATTCAATACTTCCACCCCAAACTTCTAATCTTTTTTCAACTACTGTTTTCTCCCCTGAATCCGTCACTACCATGTGAATTCCTATATCCCACTGCCCGATGCGTCCCATTTTCCACTAATACCCTCTCTCTTTCCCCTCTAGTAAGTATACTATCATCTTTCACACTCGCTATCACTTGCAACTCACTGTCTAGTCCCCCCCCCCAACCCTCCTCGCAGCGCCAACAACTTACTAGCCCAACTTTCACCTCTGCCGATATCTCAGTGTGTTCATTCCTTCACCCTTGAAACTCTCTCAAGCCTTCTCCACCACCCTCTCACTTTCCAACTGTCTTAATTTGACCACAAGTTTTCAAGATCCAGCACCACCACCACCACCATCTATCTACATTCATTTTCAACTTGGCAACCAGGAACGTTAAAATTTTATTTTATTAGAACAATTTTATTCAATTTAAAATTTCCTAACACCAGATTTTTATCAATACAGTATGGTTCACAAACACCATTTCCACCACCAACTCTCCTCTCCGGTCTATAATCCTTTACCTGTGTACCGCCCGCATTCTGCTCTTCCCCCTGCAGGGATTGACAAGTGATTTACAACTTGTCAAAATTATTCTTCGCCTTATTCGAACGCTTACCCAGTTGCATCGAATTTCATCTCCTTAAAACTTAAAACGCTTCTAACATCTGCACTCCAGATCAATATCAATTTTAGCAAACTCCAGTTAACTTTTGTTTCTCCTGATAACACCTTAACCTACAGTTAAGTAGATAAAGAGGAGTACACAACTTTTCTTTTAACTCACCCCCCAACCACTATTCCCCCATGTCTACTCAGTTAATCTGGTTCAATAGATTCCATTTATCGTATTTTGTTCTTCCCAACAGTACTCTCGCTCTCGGTTTTGACTTAATATGGTAATTTTTGGTACTTAACCCCGGCTTGTAGCGGTGGGAGACGTATTGTGGGTGGCGGGTGATAGAGAGGAGGCACATTCAGCTACACGGCGTGGCTGTCCTCACCTGAAGTGGGTAGTCGTCCTCTTGATTTCTCTCCAAACACAGCGACTGCTCGCCATGTTTACCTAATCTTCCTTAGTGCCAGGGCCAAGTATCGAACACCAGGGAGGCGCTGAGGGATTCTCAGCGTGTTCGACAGATGTTTCTTTACTCCCGTTCCTCTTCCTGCTCCTTACCTCATCTCCTCCAGCTACCTACCCTCTCCCCATCTTGCCCGGGCTCCCACTCTCCATTTCATGACGACCGCCTTCCTTTCTATCTGAATTGCTCTCCCACTCTCTCTAAACACAACAACTGGTTGCTTGTCCTCTATTTTACTTTTATATCATTTTCCCCACCTAAGCATTCCTCATCATCATCGTAATCACCGCCACTGGTTGTTAGACAGCCCAGACACAAACTCAAGTCAGCATGGGAGATATGAAACTAGCCAAGAATCCTTTTATACAGCTAAATATACCTACAGTATATTATCCAAGGGCTTCAAGCTCACTAACAAACCATCATAATGTTATGCATTTTAAATCATCACTTCAGGCATATGCCTTCAAAAAAGTATTTAAATATTGCGTAAAAGGATATTCAACCATGGCTTGGACTCCATTCTTCTTGAAGATCACGATGCGGAGGACGTTTCCGTAGGGCTGGCATATGGTGTGGATCACATCCTGCAGGGGAGAAAAATATATTAGGTCACACCCTCAATACGTAAATCTTAAATACTATGAAGAGAAAAACTTCAATATCAAAGTAGACAATGTGAGTAGTATGATTCCTGTACAAAACTATACCTTCAACTCCTATAACGTGCATATAACACTGAAATACGAAACTAAACATAATGGGAACAGTAAATTTAGAATCACTCTTCTAATATCCAACATAAGAAAATAAGTGGTTTGCAATAAGTAAATCATCCCTAACACAAGTAGTTTTATCAATTAGTCAACTCGATATACTCAGGATTTTGTTTCTTCAGATTTGCCCCGTGAGGGAGTTAGTTTATTGAGCACCTATATTAAGTAAAGTATAAGAGGGGTCACGCTGCTCGGGTCAGCGAGAGACGGCAGCTCCCTTGGAGTGGCAGTGTGCCATAACATGAGTCGCTGCTTTGATCCCATCCCCATCGATCTTAATGACAAACTTGGTGACAACGAGAGGAATGTTTGCCTTTGATCCCATCCCCCCCCCTCACTCTCAGTGTGCAAGATCTTACCCCCCCCCCCATTTCGCATAATATATACCAGCTTATCGAGTTTCTCCAGTCTCTGAAGCTGTGTTTATGAAGCTTCGTCTAAAATCACCATCTGTCGTTTCAGGTGTTTTTCTTGCTACCACAAATTCGTTTCATAAGTCAACGAAAGATTGGACTTACAGTTACGACAACTTTGACGTAGCTCCTTTAGGATCGAGCCTAGTACTGTTTGGTTGGACACACCAATATCAACATTGTCAAAACTATTACACCAACATCACCCGGTGCTCTCAACAAGACTACTCCCCACCCTGCATTGTGCCCGGAGCTCTGAGCTCCATTGTCAAGGGCTCAAAACTGAATATAATCAGACACCTCTCTAATAATAGCAGTATATCAGACGGGTGACGGGACAAGTGTTCGAACACATGATCTGGCCGAGGCATCACCACCTATTACTGTACTAGAGTGCTTCCCCTGTGTGTTTACATTGATGTTTATAAGGGGCCAACGCAAACAAAGGGGGTCCGATACTAACAACACTGCCGCCAACAACAGATGTGGGGAACTGCAACAGCACTACCGGATATCCCAACATTCTCCTCGCCACGGCTGTTCTGCTCGGTCCCATCCCCGAAAAGTACATTACTATAAGAGTGAACTCCACTTTATGACCACATTACTATCACCGGCATCGCCATCATCTGCCGGCCGCGTGCCCCGAAATCGAACAATAAACACCATGGTACGCGGTAAGCCTTGTGTGGGGACCCCGGCAGGTCAGGTCTACATACAACACACAGGCATATTACCCTGGGCACGTCTCTTATCTGCCACCCGGGAGGTTTTCTTCCTGGCAATAAACATACATCACCTTTGGCAGCCCTTCACCGGCATTAAATCTTACTTCTCGATATCCCCACTCAGTCCCGCAGTAATTACCACATGTTCTCTGTCAAGTGTAATAAATAACTGGATTTACCGATATATTACAGGTCTGCCATTACACTTCAAGAGGTACAAGATGAAAGTACGGTACCGACGAGGCAGCGGTGCGGTGCTGTAATGAACTCTACAGGTTGACACTTCTAGCATATTAGATGCAAGAAAATAAAAAAAGCATTAAAACTAAGAACACGCGGTAAATGAAGAAAACGTATCTATATTTCGGTCAAACACACACACATATTTGAGAAAGGATTAATGGAACGTGGGGATGGGAAGAAAGATTTTGGTGAAGCACACACCCAGTCCCAACAAGGATAACTTCAATTAGTAATGGCAGGTGAAGTGAGGAAGGCATGAAGATCATCACACTAAAACTTCCCTTACATAGTGCTTTCGCACTATGCAAGACTACAGTTACACGCATCTGGAGACACAAAGAAAACTTTTAAAACAAATTTTTTTTCCCAGACAGCACTTCCAGGTCGGTGATGCGCCACTCTTCAAGTAAAAAATACTGAACACGGAAAATATGAACGCTTTTGATTCGTGTTTGTGTCGTGTCGTTACACCTGTGTGTGACGGGGAGAGGCCAAGTAGGAGAAACTTGACGGCACCCAGGGAGTGAGTGGATGACGCTGATGAGGCAGCTCGTCTAACGTATATTCTTGGACCTCTCTAAAGCCTTCGATACTGTCGACCATACCATCCTCCTTTCAAAGCTTGAACATTACGGCGTTAGGGGCCTGTCCCACAATTGGTTTACCTCATATCTGTCCAACAGGATGCAGTATGTCTGTTATAATAATCACCAAGCTGACTCCTCACCAATCTTGTATGGCGTCCCCCAAGGTTCCATTCTCGGTCCAGTACTGTTTTTGTTGTACATAGACGACATAGTCCACGCCAGCACTCACATAAAATACAACTTATTTGGAGACGATAGTAATCTCTATGCCAGCAACTCGGACCTCCATTCCTTGATGAGAACTACGAACACTGAATTGACTTAAGTCAGTACCTGTGTAATACATAATAATCTGACCTTAAATCTTGAGAAAACCCACTACACGATCTTTCACAGAAGGAAAAACTTACCCCCAAAACTTGGACCCCCTGTACCTCGGTAATACAGTCCTCAAACGCGAACAAAATAATAAATTCCTCGAGTTATTGTTGATGAGAAACTTAACTGGAGAAACCACATACAAGCCATTCACAGTAAAGTCAATAAACAGTGCGGTATCATGTATCACACTCGACAGTCACTCACTCTCACAGCAATGAAAGAAATCTATCATGATCTTGTTTACCAACACCTGATACACTGTCACACACTATGTGGGGCCTCTGGCTCTTCAAAAACACAATCCCTGGTTACTGCACAAAAGAGAGTTGTACGGACAATGGCCTACTTGGGAAGAAAAAAAAATTACCACAAAACGAAAAATTTGCTAAATTGAAAATGTTAAAAGTTCGAAGATATTAACACCTACTGCTGTGCCCTCTTTCTTTACAAATCTATCAATCACTTGCTTGACAATAATTATTTCCAGTTCCGGAATAATCAAAAGCAACTTAAGGCACCCAGAGCTACTAAGATCATCCCCCCATGCGCTCCTCTCAGTCCCAGACCTCCATAAAATATCACGGTGTGAAGGTGTGGAACAATTTACCCCCACCCACTCGAGCAAAGACTACGCTCCCTTCCTTTAAATCATCTCTTAAAAAATATCTATTGTCTAAGTCTAAGTATTAATACTTCTTGTAATATCTACTATATTTACAGTACCTGTTTTTATTATACCATCAAAACCGTTTTACCGGAAATTATCATGTAAATAGATAAGAAATTACCATTGTAATGAACATATTTGCCAACTAGACATAATCCTGACATCTCTGTCCTCTTGCTCAGCCTTAATACTGTACGTACAACCCATGTTGTACTGCTCCCCTATTATATTTGTTTTGTTTTGTTTTTCAATTCCACTGTAATTTATGTATATACTTATAATAAAAAAAGTAAAAAAAAATCAATAAAAAAATATAAAAATAAATAAATATTGAAGTGATAACCGTGGTAACATTATGAGATGTTTTTATTAACACCATGCTATTGTACTATTCCAGATGATACGATAGGTTACATAATACTTCCTTGAGATAAATGTATAGTATATAACAGGTGCCTACAGGAGAGCTCAGGTTCTCTACTGGCTCAGCCATGTTAATATTGTTATTATCCACTCTGTATCTGTGTTTTTCTGGCCAAATAAACTGCTTCAATTCAATTCAAACTGGAAAGAGTAATTTCTGCTACACAGAAGAGGAAGGGATGGAGGGAGAGGCAGATGTAAGGAGACAGTAAGATGGAGGGAGGAGAGGCAGATGTAAGGAGACAGTAAGAGGAAGGGAGGAGAGGCAGATGTAAGGAGACAGTAAGAGGAAGGAAGGGAGGGAGGGAGGGAGGGAAAGGCAGATGCAGTATGGAGGAGGAGGCAGATGTAAGGAGACAGTAAGAGGAAGGAAGGGAGGAGGGAGAGGAGATGTAAGGAGACAGTAAGATGGAGGGAGGAGAGGCAGATGTAAGGAGACAGTAAGAGGAAGGGAGGGAGGGAGGGAAAGGCAGATGTAAGGAGACAGTAAGAGGAAAGGAGGGAGAGAGGGAGGGAAAGGCAGATGTAAGGAGACAGTAAGAGGGAGGGAGGGAGGGAGGGAGACAGCAGTAACTCTCAGGAGAACGAGCGAGCGAGGGGACGAGTGACATCATGTGTCAAGCTGATCAAGCGACGAAAGACAACCTCTGGGGCTGCTAGCGACACGGGCAGTGCAGGAGCTATCATCATCCGGGACTCCCCCGACGCAGCATCAGTGAAGCCAGCTACGCCGAGATAAAGATCTTGTCCGAGCACAATTATTGATCCCTAGAGACGAGGGGAAGAGAGACCCAGCGATCGTATAAACCGAGAGGAAACGCAGTTGATTGTTGGATGTCCCTACAGTACCCAGACCTGGCCCAGGACCTGCTGTTTGCGTCACCAGGATCGTAACCTCCATCTTTTCGTTGGTACAGTATTTACCTAAAATCCGCTCCTGGCTCAACTGTTCATGCAGGTTCTTCCTGGAAATGTTTATCTCGTCGACACCAGCTCCCCCCTCCCCTCCTGTACTTACGCACCTGTGCACTGTACCAACACTTACCCTGTCACTGGCACCATGTCATTACCTCGGCCCGAGAATAGTCGTACGTTGAGTGCCACCTTATCGTATTAGCCAGACATATCGCTTCCTCATTACCCCCTCTTCCCACCTCACATATTCTACCACATTCCTTGAATTGCTGACGTCCATCTTTCTCCAACCAAGAGGTTGACTGAAACTTGCCTTAAGTTAAGAGCCAAATCAACTAGTAAGATTTTTAAAAGTTTATTTTTGTATTGTAACCCGGGTAAGTTTAGTTTAACAAATTTATTGACAAAGCTTGGAGTACAGTTTGTCTATTCTGGGTAATTCAATCAGGTCTTG